AAAAAAAAAAAAAAAAAAAAAAAAAGGTGGGGGGGAAGGAGCATACTGTAAATGTAGGAAAAGGAAGGAATGAGTACCAGTCCCCAAAATGTTAATTCACTGAGTAGCTGACAGCTGGTTGAGCTCATCTTTTGATGCCAGACACTGGGAATGAGTCAGGGCAGAAGCTGTCGGTGGATGACTTAAAGTGGAAGGAAGGGATCGAGGGGAGGCAGGAATCAGCAGCCGTCTGCTCTACCTGACACCATGGCAGAGGGCCTCTGAGTAAGTAGAATGTATGATTTAGGACTGTCCCCTTTGGCACATCTTAACTATACCTCAGTGTCAGGATTGTTTGAAAACTTCTGCCCCCACCGAAAGTTGTGAGCCCCAAACTTCAGACTTGAAAGGAAAGGACTTTCTTAAATGTGAGCTGAGCCTTCCGTGAGCTTTCCCAACAGTCAGTGTCTTGTCTTGTTTCCATTACCAGACTCCAGTTCTTTGGGCAGCTCACTTAAAATCCTTTCCCTGAAATCACTGACTTTTGACAATAGACAGGAAATAAATTAAAATCACAGTAGCCGTCCCTTGGGAAAAGAAGTTGAAATCTGATAATTCAGACATGTAGCAACTCCAAAAACTGGAGCAAGAAAGGAACCCGGGGACCCAGACGGCTCACAGCGCATTAGACCCCCTCTGAAGACATGCCCAGTGCTTCGTTCTTCTTTATGACCCTATGAACCACGTGCCTTGCATTTCATAAATACACATGGAAGAGACTGGTCATAATTGTGTCAGAGAAATAAAAATAATGGATAGTGTGTGACAACTCAAATCCGCAAACGAAAAGATAACACTTTTGGTGAAACTAACCAAATATTTAGTTATTATTGAATGGGAATATTATTGAATGGGGAAAGGTCAGTATAATAAACTGATCTGAAAAATATTGCTGTTGGTGATAGAAGATGTTCAGCCCTGAAGACAATACCTTGTATTTAAAGACAATTATGTAGCTTCTAATACTATGAAAAGACGCATTGAATTTCTGATTAACACACACCCTACAAAGACCAGACCAACACCGGCCTGACTTCAGCCTTTGTTGTCATTCTTTCCTGTGTCCACTTATATGAATCTGTCCTCTCTTTTCTTTGAAACCCAGAATCCGATAACAGATGCAGTAATGAATAAAACAGTGTTATGTTGGTGTAGCACTGACTGAGCAATCTGATCTGAAATGTAGCCAGTGTCCTCTGAGTCCCTCATGTGGCTCAAGGTCCAAATTGTTTTGGGTAAAATACTGTGGTCCCAGCTGCCTCAGTGTTGCTTGTCTAGAATAACTATATCTGCATGTCGACACGTACTAGCCAGTGGGTTAAGCATTTCATGTGGTTAAGTAAATTTCCTTTACTGCTCAGAAGAACCCTTTACAGTATACACTATGGTAGCCACTTCACAGATGAGGCATCCAAGGCACAGAGTAGGTAAGAAACTTGCCTAAAATCTCACAGCTGGTAGGGGGTGGAGCCAGGGTTGTCATGAGCTCAAAGCTGGTGCTCTTGGCCACCAGAGTTCCATGGCCCTGGGCTTGCTGTTTCACTGGGGCTGGGTCATCTACCCTCTGTTGCATTGTTTTTTCTTCCCATTTATCCATCTGTATCTCCCATGATATTTAAATACTATGTCAAGGACAGGAACATTTTTTGTAATCTCAGTTCTTAGCCTCCTGATCTCATCCTACAAAATGTTGTCTTCCAAAGCACGTCTTTCTTACTAAAAGTAACTTTTTGCTCAGTTTTTCAGCTCAGGTGCAATACAACCACCTCAGCACCGGGCAGATTTCCGTCTGTAGCCTGCTCTCCTCCCTCAGATCTCTTAGACGGAGTCCCTTCATCTGAGTGTGCTTAGTACTAGATTTCTTTATTCCTTACATGTGTTGGTATACAGTGTGGGTATGTTTTATATTTGGTCAGTCTGCTACATTGGAACATAATTTTGACACTGATTTCAGGAAAATCTCCAACTTTAGGGTCCTAATCTTCCACCCATCTGCATATGTATGTGTGGACTACACTAGATCCATGGGGAAATTTTGTTGAGGCTTCACTGCTTCTCTGTATCTTTTTAACATGTAAAAATTTTCAAAAGCTAATTTAATTGCATTGCATTATAAATATTCTCTGGATTGGGTAGGTAGTACATTTTGCCTTTGAATTCAAATGACTTTTAACATAGGACCTCATTATGGTAGAATTTGTTTGTTTTTAACAAGGTTGAAAAAAGGCCGCAGAGGCTGCAAACCTAGTTCAGGGAAGCTGGTTCAGAGAAGTCAGGGCTGCACTTGTGCTTCTGTGACCATTTCCTAAGGTTGCAATTTAATTTTCAGGTGACTGGGAAAGTGTCCAGTTATTTTTCAATAAATGTGTGTTTTTCGTGAAATCCCTGGGCCTTAAATTAGTGAAGTGTTGTTTAACTTCAGTTATTAAGGTAATCCAGTACTCCATCTAAATAGAGTTTCCTCATGTCTGGTTTGTTTTTTTTTTAAAGAGAACTTAACAGCACCTTATTTAAAGGGCTGAAAAACATTTGGGAGGGACCATGAAGAGAAATAAGCAAGAAGTTCATTGCGCCGTCCTGTGTAGGAACTGGCCTGAATTCAGCCCCCCACCGACAATAGCTGCGAGGCTCAGAGAGCTCCCATCCTTTGACACTGTAGTCACCAGCAGCTCTGAAATAGTAACTCCTGCGCCTGTGTGTCTGCATAGTGTTAAGGCATTTTACTGATTAGAATGTTCTTATTTTATTGAGCTGTCTTTGACCTAAATGTCTGATTATTTGAATTAGCAGCTTTTGAACCTTTGGAGGGTTGGATAATCTATAGGAAACAGCGGTTCCTCTGTCCGGGAAAGTGCACACACACATAGACAGCCCATCTTTAGCACTGAACATCAGGGAGTTCAAGGACTGCTGGGCATGTTTAAGGATCCGTTTGAAACTATTTGAAGGGTTTTAAAGAGCTCTGTGGCAACCAGTGCGTTTTCACAGAGCAAACTGAGGAAGTTCTTGTTAAACAAAACCTTTTTAAGGAAGTTGATTGATATCAAATGCTTTGTGGATCAAGGTGAGAATAAATAAAGGAACACAAAATAGGGAAAATAAACAAATAAAAGTCAGGCACGTGCATAAAGTTCTCCAGACATGGATGCTCCATCCTAAAAAGGTATATAACTGTGTCAATATTACTTTACCAGCCTGGGGGTAAGCGCGTTATGTGGCTGACACAATATGTCAATCTACATTTTATTAGATTAGACTAAACAATTTCCAACATTTTCTAATTTGAATATTCTAGCAACACCATTTTTAATCTTTAGGTTTTTAAAATGATAACTCAAGTACTTCTGTATTCTCTCAGAGTTGATTTTAACCTAGGGAAATTAGGGTGTTTTGTCATGGTGGTCTCCATAGCACATTTGACACTGAAATGCTGAGACTATCCTTGGTGTTTAAGTTCTTTTGCTCTCAGAGAAGACAGCTATGTTTGTTGAATATGCTTGTTTATTAGCTTTCACAGTTGCCAGTAGATATTTCAAATACCTTTCAAATTCCTTGATGTATAATTACATTTCTCACTAAACCGAGACATGTTGGTAGCGTTATATGTTTTATAAAAGTACATTAGGAACCTTAAGTTTCTGAAAAACAAGGTAGAGCATGTGTCAAAATATAATTCTCAACATGTTGACCATAATTCTGATAGAAATAGCTACTGAGCACATGTCAAGATTTCATTTAGCTTAACCAGCAGGGTGGCAAAGCCAGTCCAAAAAAGAAGAATATGTATTTATCTCTGTATCCATAGCTATATCAATTCTACATCTAGGAATATCAATTTGGTGCCAGTCCTCAGTGAGACCAAATTTCCTCTATCAATTATTTTACAGAATCCATTCATATAAAAAAAAACTCCACGTACCCCAGCTTTTTAAAAAAATTTTTAAATTCATTTTAGAGAGGAAGGGAGAGGGGGAGGGAGAGAAACATCAATGTGGGAGTGAAACATTGATTGGCTGCCTCTCACATACACCCCTGTCGGGGATCAAACCTGCAACTTGGGCATGTGCCCTGACCAGGAATCGAACTGGCTACATTTCAGGGAACATGGGATAACACTCAACCCACAGCCACCCAGCCAGGGCTACCCCAGCTTTTTAATAACAACATGTATCCCTTTTGTTCTGGTGACTGGTCCTATCCCCGGAGATTCTCTTAGTAGGGGAAACTTTTATACTGATGTGGAGAACACAAGTGTAAATGACAGCCAGCCACCACTAGTGTCTCAGCATCACAAAGGCAAAGAAAGAAATTCCTTAGAGGAAGCAAATGTCCCAAGTTCTTCATTTATGAATGCTGAATGGAATAATTGAAAACATCCTAGAAACTTTGTGTGGGAGCTGTTTCAGAAAGTTCTATGTGAAATGATTTATTTCAAAGCAGAGCCCCTGTTTCTGTTTCTAGTAAAAAATATATATATATATATATATATATATTTTTGGTCATAAATATATTTTTGACCATAAATATAATATGATTTGGTCTCTCACTAGCACTTCATTTAGGAAAGGGTGCTGACTCTTAGAAATAGGTAANAAAAATATATATATATATATTTTTTTTTGGTCATAAATATATTTTTGACCATAAATATAATATGATTTGGTCTCTCACTAGCACTTCATTTAGGAAAGGGTGCTGACTCTTAGAAATAGGTAATACGTGTACACCTGAAACTAATATTATATTGTATGTCAACTGTAATTGAAAAATAAAAAAATGATTTAAAAAAAAGAAGAAGGTGATATGGCAGAATGTAGAGTGAGGGAAGCCCCTCAGGTCATTCATGTGGAGCCACAGGATGTGTGTTGTCTCTTTCCAGGACCAAGAAACCTCCTTCCCCAGGGCACTCTCAGCTCAGAGACTCTCCCCACGGTGGTGCTTTCTAGATGGTGAGTGTTTCCATTTTCACGGAAGGGTGGGGGGTGGGAAGCAACAGGACAAGGTATCCATTGGTGTAGTGAACCCCAGTTTTCCAAAAGATTAGCCAGAAACTCTTCACATGGATCCACGTGGCTGGTGTTTGCCTCTCAGCGATGTGGACTTGTTGATGTTGCAGCCTCTTTCCTTCAAATCCAGGGGATTAACTCTGGCTGAGCTTCTCAGCATCAGATTGCTCAAGCTGGCATTGCCCTTCACTGCCCCCTCCCCATACTAAACCGTGCTGAGTGCCTCTCCTACACTGAGGCCAGTAGATAGGGTCAGTAACCATGGGATGGGTACTAACATGTATGTTTCTTGCATATTTGGGAATTTCATATTTTTATTAAACCACCATTTCAGTGTGATGCATAAATTTTTATTAAAGCGCAGTAAATGTCAGTTGCACTCACATCTGCCCTGCTGAGCATGACATGGAAGGCATAGTAGGTCAGTTATTTTCTGATTGGTCGATGCTGCTCAACTCTACTTTTCTATCCAATTCCCTGTATTGAAACCTATTCCTGCATATATGCTGCCCAGTGTATCTACCACCGAGGATCTCTCTAATCTAGGTGGTTTTCGTCATAGACCCCTCTTTGTTTATCTGCGCATGTGTCCAGGAGGATATGTGTGGGTAAGGGTATGACAGGGTGTGTGATGTCTGAACAGTGTCGTGAAGATGAGCACTTGTGTCTATCTGACATCTAAGCCACATAAACCATGACATACTTTCCATGAATGGCTTGTCAACTACCTCTGAAGGTAGATCACGCTATTCTTCTTCCAGCTCTTTTATTCCTGGTGATAAGAAACGTAATCATTGTTTTTCTTGAATCCACAGAGGATCGGCTTATGTTCAAGAAAAATGTGAAAATGTATATGAATTGTTCTGCATGCAGTCTGCTCTCTATGTGGTCTTTGATAAAATTACAAGTGTGGATAATAGACTTAATCCGTATATTAGTTTTACTGTATAAATAGTTTTATTAGAAACCTTTAAAAGGTGGTTGTACTCATGGTTAAAAAAATCCAGGTAGAGTAAGTCCTTCTCAGGCAAATTTTCCCTCCCTGTTGCTTTTAGGAGGCAGGGACCGTGACTGTTTTGTTTCTTAGCTCATTTCCTTTGGAGAAAAGCTACTCGTTAAATATTTATGATTTTTAAATGATTATTTGCATTTTGAGTTTTCCCCTCTAGTACTCTGTAGAAAATCTATTTAGAATATTTGGACTCTGGTAGATAGATTTAAGCAAGGAGAAACACAATTCTTTTGAATGTTAAGAATAATCAGAATAATTTCTAAAAACCCAAGTTTGTAAGACTTTTTCCTCAAGCCACAGCTGCAGCCCAGGCCCTTTTAGAAATGCTTAAATTATATATACAGTGTTCCCCCAAAATGTGTACACACACTTGAATAATTATAAAGGCAGTGTTTATTAAAATGCATTTCATTTTCAAAATTGAGCTATCAGCTGTCAAAGTGTGTATACAATTTTGGGGGGGACCCCCTCTTTATGTAATTTATTTATTTCCTGTTGTTTTGACTTTCTTCAGACATAGCTTAGGGACTCAGTTTTAAGGGGAAGTGATTCCTTTAATACCAGATGTGGTCCCTGGTTCTTTGTCTTCCAGATCTTTTCCAAAATGAGAATCACTTTTTTGGGAAGTCTGGCCACTGAGAGTTCTTTTCTAGCTTTATTTTCTTAATAAACACACATGGAGTGTCAGCTCTGTTTAAGGTCCTGCTATCTGGAGACATGAGAGAATGAATGAAATAAGCCCTCTAAAGAGGCAGATGCCTTGGTCTCATAGTTGTCTGAGGAGATAGTTTCTATAAGAAGTGTAAACACGCGTGAGTGTGCCTAGAGGTAGAAGCTAGAGAGAGGGGACTGAGGCAGGTCTCTTGGGGGAGGTGACATTTCAGTTGTTTCCTAGAAGTCAAGTAGGATTTAGACAGGCAGGTGCAGTGGGGAAGGCCCGGCTTTCTGAACAGGGAGGCAGCAGCAGCAGAGGTGTGGGAGCCCTGAGTTTTTCTTAAAAGATTTAGGGACTGGTCCGTAGTCCACATGCCTGGGATGCATGGATGCAAGGTTTCTGATTAACGTAGTAGGACAGAAGGTTAGAAATTTAATGCCAGAGCATCACAGGACACTCTGAATGCCATATCCTGTTTGTTTATTTTTTTCTAGCAACTTCTGCTGATCGCTTTTATCGAATAGACAGATCTCAGGTAAGTTTTCTAGAGCCCACTTGTGAAAGTGAAAAGTTCCCTAGTAAATATGCTTTATCGGTAGCTGATCTGATCAATTTTTCTAACAAAAACACGGAAACATTTACTCATGTTGGAGGGGTGCCCTTCCCCTATGCCGGGAGCTTTTTATTTGTCTTATGTTTTCTGATTGAACACGATACTGCTTGACCTTTTAAATGAGTACAGAAAATAACTAGACTTGTAAATATTACCACCAGCCTGCACTTCAGATTTTTATTCACACAGCTATTTATAAATACTGCTTCCTAGTCAAACTGATGCCTTTTAAATTTTGAGACCTCAAGTTTGAGACCTCAGGCATATATCTAGGCTACTTAGTTTCAGCTCATCACCTCCGAGAGTTCGGTAATAAGAAAATAAAATGCTTATGTCTAACCATAGCAAGTGTTCCCACTGCCCAAATTCTCTTGCAAGAAGAAAGGACAGCGTGGGATCCAGTGATAAAACCAGATGTTTATGCCATTTAGCCTTGACCAGGTCCTGGGGGTGGAAGTCCAGGTTATTGACACTCTTGCTGGACCCAGTTCAATGTGGGTGTCGCTTCTTTGAGGTGACCTGGTCATACCTAACAAGACCTGGGTCAACTGGGAACTCAAACCAAGAGGGACTCACGTCTCTCCCTCCCCAGCCTCTTGCTGTGATGTTGCATCAGGGAGCGACGTGCACTGGTCCGTCCTCTGAAGTCACTGTGGTCATTTGATGTGTCACGGCATGTCATTGTCCCTCGAGACCAAGCAGCTTTGTTTTGTTATTCTTCAGATGACAGCTCGAGCACCCTGTCAGTCATCTAACAGACTTTTCCTCTCCCTTAGGAACATTTGCACTTTGTGATGGAGATTTCTCAAGATGAGGTTTTTATTCTGGACCCAGATATGGCATTGTCACAGCAGGCGGGGACACCGCCAGGAATGCCTGACCTGGTGGTGGAGCAAGCGTCAGGGTGAGTATGAGTCTCCTTGGGCAGTGAGATGGCGAGGCTGCCACAGGGCGCCATCCGTGTCTTGTCTGGCTTTGGAATTGACATTTCTAATGACATCAAACTATCCTAAAATACAGTAGTCCCCTCGCCCACAGGGAGTATGAATCAAGAACTCCCCTCCCCGAGTGGACACCTGAAATGCGGATAGTCTCAGACCCTATATACTATGATTTTCCTATACATACATACCCATGATAAAGTTTAATTTATAAATTAGGCACAATAAGAGAGAAACAGCAATACCTAGTAATAAAACAGAACAGTTATAACAATATACTGTGATAAAAGTTATAGGAATGTGGAATCTCTCTCTTCCTCTCTCTCTCTCTCCCCCTCTCTCCCTCTCTCTGATAACTGATCTTATAACTGGGATGGGCAACCGCTAAGCGATTAACGGGCAGGTCGCGTATAAAGCGTGGCGACCCTGGACAGAGGGCTGATTCACACCCAGGGTGGGACGGAGCGGGACAGTGTGAGATTTCATCAGGCTACTCAGAATGGCATGGCATTTAAAACTTAAGAATTATTCATTTCTGGAAATTTCCATTTAATATTTTCAAACAAAGGTTGACCATAGGTAACTGAAACCACAGAAAGTGAAACCGTGGACAAGTTGGGGCTGCCGTGCAGGTTTTCTTGTTGCGCTTCATTAGAATGTATGAGGGTTTCGTTATAAGTCTGTCTTAGGAATGGTTGAGTGGAAATTCTCTTTCCCACCCAGGTTTCATCAGGTCTGAGCTTCTATACCCACCACACCCACACTTCTTACCAAACTAGAAAACACCAGTATTTGCATTTGTGCATATACATCTTTAATGCCTGTATTAGCTAAATAAAAATTGACACAGGTGATTTGACAACTAGATTTCTTCTCTCCCTCCCCTTTTGCCATAATCCAGGCAGCCTGGGGCATAGAGATTGTATAGCAGTAACTGTCCCATGCCAGGTACTCACCCTGAGCCGCATACCGTGCTCAGTGCTTTCCTTATATCCCCACCACCACTTCATAGTGACTTAGTCATCTTAAGTGATCTGTGCCTGTTTCTTCATCTGTAAAATGGAACTAATGATACCTACTCACAGGATCGCTTGACGATTAAGTGAATTGATACATGTGAAGCTTTTAGAATAGTTCCTGGCACTTGATAGGTACTCATTAAACATGTTATTAAAGTCATCATTTCACAATGACCCTGATAATGTGCTACTGTTATTGTCCTAAATCCACAGATAAGAAAATCGATGCCTAGAGGGTTTTGTAACTTTCCCAGTATTGCACAGAAAATAAATGGAAAAATTGAGATGTAGTCCCAGGTTCCCTGACGTCAGAGCCCACAAGTTTAACCACTACGATGAACCATCAAAATGTTATTAATGTTTCTAGGTTACTTCAACAATTCAAAAATATTTATCTAGAGCTTTTTTTAGGTACCAGTGTAAGCACTTGGAAACAAGGGTGCCAGAATCAAAACAGACAAAAATCTCTGCCCTTTGTGAAGTCTAGTGAACCTCAGTGGTTTACTGGTTAAAATAAAGATTTCCTTGGAAAGCACACACAGGCACTCAGATAGCGTATGGAAGTTTATACACATACCCATACAATATAAGCAGAGAGATTCATTTGAGTAACCCTTACGCCTGTGTACCCCTCCTCACTAGTTTATGTGGCCCTTGCTGCTATTTCTGAGTATCTCCACTCTGCCGGGGCCAGCTAATATCCGTGGTATGTACCGAGTCTGTGGGGATCAAGAGGACAAGTTGTTGGATGGAACAGAGATAGAGCTGTGTTTAGGACGCCAGAGCTCGTGGTCTCAGAGCTGTCCTGGCATGAAGGGAAAGCTCACAAAGGGCGGTCTAACGTAACCCTGGGAGCTCCAGAAGGCGATGGAGAGGGCCCACTTCACGGTCCATGTGCCCTAAGTCCAGCCTGTCGTGGGGAAAAAAACTAAGATGCTGAGTCCTACTGCAGAAGCAGTAGCTACTAGAGCCTAGTGTCCTCCCATCCCACCGACTCACATCTCTTTGATCGCATCTGTCCTTGATCTGATAAGAGTGAACCCATTCTGCCAAGCTCCCCATGGTCTTGGACCTGTCAGTCATTTTTTCCATGTCAAATCATGGCCAAAAGAAATGGCTCTGTCTTGGTTTAGAACTCTATTAACTCTGACTCCAAAAATAACATAACCTGGAAATCCACAAGTACTTGACTCAGTCCCTTTGCTATTTTTCATCAGTGGCCCCCCTGGAAATAATCCAGAAGCAGTGGTGCAGCGGGAGAGGAGGGGCTTTGTTATTTTCTAATCTGTGTTTCCGTATCAGGCTCCACTGCTTGTTTTATGTTACATTTTAAGTGACTTCGTCTTGAAAATTAGTTTGCTCATCTGTAAAGAGGGCAGAATCACACAGATAGTTCACGATGGTTGAGAAAACTAAATGAAAGAGTAAATGTGGAGTACCTAGGAGATACCCAATGAAGGTGAATTTCCTTCTCACATTTAGAGACAAGAATCATCCTGAGAAAGCGTAGAGTAAGCCTGTGGCTGACCTTGCCCCTGTCTGGTGCCCTCTCGCCCCCAGAGTGTCCGACTGGTGGAACCCCGCGCTGCGGAAACGCATGCTGAGTGACAGTGGCCTGGGCCTGATGGCGCCGCGCTACGAGGACCCGGATCTGAAGGACCTCAGCCACTCCCGCGTGCTACAGTGAGTCCCCTCTCTGTCCCTCCCCTGTGCGCCCCTGGGGGCCTGCACCAGCCGACGGCTCCTCTCTCCAGCGGTGTTCCCCTGCGTCCCGAGACTGTGTCCCCCTGTGGCCTGGCATTGTGTTCACGCTGAGCTCTTACCCACGCGGGCTCCCCACGGAGCTTCATTTCATTCCTCTGGCTCACGAGCCACCTGAGACGGTCGTGTGGACCTAGAAACACTTCCAGCGCCAGCGGGGTTTGCTTTGCTGGCGCCCAGTGGTGACGAGACGTCTCTGTCGGCCTCGTGGCGAGGACACGCGCGAGAGCGGTCGTGAATAGCTTGGGAGTGACGTGGGGGTTTCGTTTGCGTGAGCACCCGGGCATTTGTGCTGCGTGCCCGGGGAGAGCCGGCCAGAGGGGGCGCT